TGACGGCTGGCCTGACCTCAGCTCGGCTCTAACGGGGCCAGCCGTCGGCCCTGTCCTCCCACCTCCTCGTGGCAACGGGAAGGGAAGACTGCACAGGTTTTCGATGTGGATAGAAAGACGCGTGGTGGAAAATTTGTGTGGTGTGGCATGCAATAAAATGGTGTGCGCACCGTGCATCTTTCGTTCTTAGTTGCAAGTTCTCACATATTAGATAAATTGCCATCTGCCAGCATAAGACTTTCGAATGTCAAATGCTTTCGTCTTTCGGTGTAAAACCATTCCTCCTAGCAACTTGTGCTTCGGCCACATACAATATCATAATATCGCCACTAAGTCTGGTAAATTTGAATGATGTAGGTAATATAATTAGGAAACGCGAGAGATGCTGAACAGTGAATGAACACCGTAACACTTTTTTGAAAACACTCTGTAAATCTCTTCTCCTATTGTGTGCTCAGATTCGCACTCTTTCACTTGTTACGTTTGTTCTGCTGAGTACGGTTCATCATTTTTGTTTTTCGCACTTAATAAACCGCCGGTGGCACCCGGTTGAAGGAAGGAGGAGGAAGACGAGACATCTGTGATGCGTGGAAACCAGAACTCGATCGTTTGTGGTAAAGAACGATTAAAGAATAAAGATGAATGATGATCGAATGATCACATGATCAAATAACATGACATAGTATCTGCATCAAAGCACCGTGTTGAACCCTCGCCCGCACATGCCATTTTTCCATCCTAGAACGCACATGGGGGGGGGGGGGGGTTGTCACCCCTCCGCGCCATTTCGTTCCTGTTGGATATAGAGCTTCGCGGTGAAGACCAAAAAGATTCTTTGGGAAGAGACAAATCCAATGATACCCAGTTTTATCTTCTCACGTCAGTCATTGACCTTACAGGTCAGGTCAAACTAAAAAACGTTTTGGGTCACCGTTGGATATCAAGAGCGCTGCTTATCATATACCGATGACGATGCCGTTTTCTGGTGCCAAGCCAGCTAGAACCTCTTTGTCACACTACCCGACCAGGTTTTTGCTGCTGAGGTCATTTCAGGTCAAGTTAGGTCAAGGTCCATTATATGTGTTTGTATGTCTGTGTGTGTCTGTGTGTGTGTGTGTGTGTGTGTGTCTGTGTGTATACTGATGCGTGCACCGATTGTTTATGTGTCCATTTTACATGAAATAATGATCTGAGAAGCTTTTACCAAAAATGCAGTCAAAAAACTTCACGAAAAGTACATTCAGCTTGCCTAAAACGCAATTATTTTAGATGACCAGGTTGACCTTGACCCTGACCTTGACATCTGTACATCGTCGAACAACATGTTCCATAATAGGTGGGAGGTAAGACTGGCAAAAAAGGCCGAAATCTAGGTGTCAAAAGCTCACAAGGCCCATAGCCAACGCAAGATGTTGAAAATTGGTCATTTGGGTCATGACATGACCTGAAAAAACAAGGTCATATCTCCGAAACAAAAACCACAGAAACTTGAAATTTTCAGTGGACATAAAGAAAAGATAGAGGAGCAGCTACACGAAAAATCAGTTTTCTAGCTCTAAAAATGTTGAGTGCAGAGCAGAAAGACTTCCTGGGGGGTGGCAACCCCCCCCCCCCCCCATGTGCGGGCGAGGGTTAAACAGCGAACTATTCCAGTTATCAGCGAAAAGCAGCACATCTGTCGTGATTCCCCGGTCGCCCATTAATGAGCTGTGTTTGTGTTATGTTATGTTCTCATTCAAACTGCTTACATTTGATTTTGAAAGTAGAGCAACTATAATATGATTTTGCTGACTGCAGACAAGAAGCCGAGAGCAACACACAACTGCTTCATGCACAAAATACACTGGTAATCCTGGAACACACCAGAGGCAAGGCAGTTCGCCGTCACATTGTCACAGTTATCCGCCGCAGAGATGGAGGGACGTAAAATGCGACGTTAGCTTTGTGCTCACCCATGCGATAGATTCTGAAATAAGTTGGATGAAATTCGGTCGGGAATTATGCATCCTAATTGGAATGTCAATCCTGAATACTAAACAATCCTGAGACTTGAGCTCTTCCCTGACAAAGGAGCTCGATTTTTCTCAACTAACACTTGGAAATCAAAAGAATTTATTGCGATAACCATCAGAAACCATGCTTGCTTTTACAATTTCAAATGCTTTCGTCTTCTGGTGTAAAACCATTCCGCCTAGCAACTTGTGCTTCGGCCACATACAATATCATAATATCGCCACTAAGTCTGGAAAATTTGAATGATATAGGTAATATAATTAGGAAACGGGAGATGCTGGACACCGTAACACTTAAAGGTAGTGTGCCACCTTTGAAAGATTTCCCATTTTATTTTTGCTAGGATAAGAAGCTTCTGTTTTTACCTAATATCGCAAAAAAATCAAAAATGGGCCTGGAATAGTGCCTTTTTCGCCTAAAAGTTTATCGGTTTTTAGATATGTATAACAACTGTAGTGGGCTCACCTGCAAACAGGCGTCGGGCAACAATCGCGAATGCGGCGCACTTGTGACAATAAGCAAAGGTCATTATAGTGTTACGACCATACGACGTACGGGAATGAGTTATCAGCTGTCTAATCGTAGACAACACAATGTCGAGCCTTAAACTGTAAGCCCGTATTGGTATTGTTTCTTTTATTTGGCTGTCGAACATTATTTATGGTTTGAAATATGATTTTATGTAAAATAATTGATATGAAAAAGCCGTCTTATAAGTTATGACCCCATTTCACCACACGCAAGTGGCAGAAATGACAATGATCAGCTGACGCATTTTTCTTGGCCGAAGTCAGAGCGCGCAGCCCGACGCACCACCACCGCACCACAAAGTATGAGCAGAAGCCGCGCCCAAAGCCAGGGCCCCGGTAACGTGAGGTAGCCGAGTCGCGGCAGCGTGCGCTGACCCAAGCCGGGGCCGCAGCTTTGGGCGCGGTCTACCGCATCCCCGCAGGCAGCCCCGGGCTATCACATGACACCGGGAGGACGCGCGGCTCCGGCTTGGGTCAGCGCACGCTTCGCCCTGACTCGGCTACCTCACGTTACGTTCGCCCTGGCTTTGGGCGTGGTCTACCGCACCACCTAACAGGCGTGTTCGAAACCGCAGGAGCTGATGATGAACGGGTTTATCGAAACTTGATTGGATGAGCATATCGGTAATAGCGATTTCAGTGTGTGCATTTATTGTTCATAGTGGTGTGAAATGTGGTTGGGGTACGACCGACAACCCGTCGGGGCGAATTTCGAACTGGGGTACTCAAAATTTGAAGAATTTAAGACGTTTCCATGAGTTTTGAAGGTATGGATAAGTTCTAAAAATCCGGTTCTCCTTATCTGGGCCATTAACTCCATACGGTCCAAGAAAGCTGGCACACTACCTTTAAAAAAAAACTCTGTAAATTTCTTCTGCTATTGTGTGCTCAGTTTGGACCTGTGGTTTACAGTTGAGACCGAAAACGTCAATTTTGACGCGTTTCGTGGATATGTTGTTTTTTCCCTCTCTTATAACGTTGACACAAGGCTTGCGATTTAGCTAGCGCGACAAACAGCTGTAACTGAGCCATCATATGCGCAGATCTGTGTCGCAACTGGGGCTGTCGACAAGTACAGGTGTCGGGTACATACAGAGTGGGCCCGCATTGGGTGCCGTCCCTCCTTGGGTCAGAGTTGGCGCTGCGGCGGTGTGGTCCGTACAACGGTTCCCGCATATTCAGGCCATCGGCGGTGGATCGGACCAGTGCTCTTCGCGCTACCCCAGTCTGTACTCGTGCGACTATCTTTACGCTTGAGTTAATTCTATTTTTCCGTTTGAACTAAGCACTTCTCACTTGTTCGCATTTTCGCTTGATTCTGTTTGTTATCCTTCCTTTTTATTTATATAACTATTCTATTCGTCAGACCTATTCGTTTTTTTTTGCTCTGTGGCCTCAAGTATCCTTAATTATTTCCCCTATTCCATGCATCCTCCTCAGCTGATCTATATTCCTTCCCATCGCGACTCGTATCGTCCCGATTTATTTCGTTCAACTCCCTCACCCCTCTCAATCCCGCCCCCGATCCCTGTCCGCTGTGACAGCCACACTCAGTTGACAGCCGGTCCGGTGTCAGTCCGACTCAGTTGACGCCAAGTGAGCTGTGGCGGCCAGTTGACAGCTGCGCGCCACCAGACACAGATGGCCCTCACGCTGGGCCGGCCGCGGCGGCGCGGCAGATTGGCCGCCGTCCGGCCGCCGCCAGTCACCGTAGAGTACTTCCAACAGGGCACCTCCGTCAGCATGGCCTACGTCATACACTGTCCGTGAGTAGAGGCCGGGGTGTATGTACCGATCGACGTGCGAAATTCTGTCAGTGCTCTTACCAACTACTGTTCGTGAGTAGAGCTGGATTTTTACGAAACGAGACGCTATATTTTGCCCGTGAGTAAAGCTTTGTTTACATCGACTGGGAAGTCCCATGCTGCCTATGATTTGATACATATGAGTATGAGTATACGTTAACAACTTAAGTTTCGATTGATTTGTCGAAGCATAAGCATGTAAAGATTGACTGCTCGCTCAAAATACTGCATACTAGACTCGTGAATTGGAATGAACGAAATCATTGACAAATAACTATTCGTGAGTTGTTTTAAGCGAAAGAAAATGACAGTCAACACTAACCGATCAAATTATTATTAGGGCGTAGCTGGAATTATTTTCAACAACGCGTCGTAAGCACCACAAAGTTCTGGCACTAATATATGTGTAATTCGCTTCTACAATACAATATAAATCGGTGAGTGGAACCACTTCATTTAAACTCAAGTTTACTCAGGGTTTTCCTGGAGTCGGATCACTGCAGGTGGTGGTTAACTGGCCGTCGCCGTTTACCGACATTTGTGTCTCGCCCTCTGCGACCCCAGCAGCCGCGTCGGGTCAGATGTTCGCCGGTCGCCGTCGACAGCCTCTCAGCAGCACGTGTTACCGATCAAAGTCCACCAAACAGCCCACTGCACACCATTCATCTTTATTCAGGCGATAGAATTTCGGCACGGCATGTTAGATGTCCGACTGCCATGATGGATGACGGTGAGGCGGCGCGCTGTTCAAGTTTTCACCGGAGGGACGGGGACGGAATGAGGCGGCGGCAGCCGCGCCGAGCCACCGAGCTCTATGCTTCAGGCGGACCGATCGATGCTGAGTGCCGGCATCAGCGTGCGACGGCCGTGGAGAGTGGCGGTGAGCGCAGTCAGTCAGCAGCAGCTGCCACCCCTAACGACCCACCTGGCTCGCCGATAACCGCACAGAACGGCCGGCCAACCGCCGAATCGCCACCGCTGCTCCCGGTACTCGGTTCGATTCGTTCTCGTCGGCGTGACTTTCCATACTCTGCTATTCACCACTCTGGATGTTTTTCACTTTACAGTGACCTACCAATGTACACCGTCTACTGCACTCAATAAATGAGATGTCAGCAATCACTTCCATCTTCGAACACTGTCCCACTGGTCCATTACTGCGCACAAGTATTGGTGCGCACACGCCCAGCAAGAAAGACACCATAATTCTGCATCGCCTTCAGCACAAATAAAGTCTTCATCATCTCGATAGAGCAAAATGCTATGGTTGCTTTGCAGCTGCTTCTTGCCAAAAATGCTTATCCACAAAGACCTCTATTTCTTTTTAGCCTTGGCTTTAGTGCCCGATGAGCCGGAGCTCGCAGTGGATGACTTCTTTGACCCCGCTGACGCATTGCTCGTTGGTCGTCCGAGGTCGGAGAAGTCGATGTTGACCACGCTCACCTGACTGCCCTGCTGACTACCCGGCCGACTGCCAGAGGCTGGCTTCTTCCCGCTCTGGCGGCCCCCAGAGACACCACTTCGGGTGCTCTGCCGGCTGCCGGAGCGGCTGCTCTCTCTGCTGCTGCCGTCGCTGCTGCTGCCCCTGCTGCTGCCTCTGCTGCTGCCGCGACTGCTGGCTCGGCTGGTCGAGCCGGCGTCTTCGTCTGCCTGACTGCTGGCGGCAGACGGGGTGGGGAACTGCAGCAGGGAGCGCTGCGAGGCCGGAGTGCCGCCGCTCGATTCCGAACAGATCGACTCCATTGAGGCGCAGCTGAGCAGCTCCGAGCGGCGTGAGGTCTGCGAGGAGGTGCGGCTCTCGGGCACGCTGATGCCACTTTCCTCCAGCGTGCTGAGGACGAGCTCGCGCGCCTCCTCGTCCAGTTCGGTGACCTGACACAGACTGCGCGCCGCCAGCTTGACCTCCTCGCGGCGCACCCGCACCTCGATGTCCTGCTCCTCTGGCGTGGAGCTGATGTGACCAGTCTTCCTGCGCAGCTGCTTGATGACGTGATTGTTGAACCTGGTGGCGCGGTCCAGCTTGGCCTCCTGCTCCTTCAGCTCCTTGTCTTTGGCGGCCATCTGTCGCTCCAGCTCCTCGCGCTGCCGGTCCAGAGTGTTCTGCTCCTCGGTCAGCTGGTCCAGCTCTGCCTGCATCACCTGCACCCTGTCCTGTATGCTGAGCAGGTGGAGGCGACGGTCCTTTACCTGGCTCTCGGTCTGGGCGATCAGCTGCTGCAGGTTGGCAGCCGTCTCCTGCTCCTCCTCCGTCTCCTGCGCACTGGACAAGTTGCGCCGGTACTCCTCGTTATTTTCCTTCAACACCTGACACGTGTTCTCCAGCGCCACCAGCTCGGCCTCCGTCTTCTTAATTTTGGCGTCCAGTTCGTCTCCCTCTCGCTGGACCTGTGGCACAGAAGGGTACTGATTTTAACGCAAGCTAACGACGACTGTAAGACAGAAGAAATGCGTCGTGTGATTTTCATTACTCACACAAATGAAGATGCATAATTATTCAATACATAGTTTATAAAAACCGTAGTTATTAACCAAAGTTCATGTATATCAAGCCAGAGATTATCAGTTAGGCTAGCTACTTATAAACTGCTGGCGTGAGTTGAAGCGTTTCATGAGCAATCGCTCAAGCGAAATAGTAATTCAGCATAATATACATTGGCGAATTAGATGGCATATGGCAAGCGCACGTTAATTGTGACAATAGTTACCTCCTCCTTTTCCTGTGCCGCTCTGATGACGTAGAATATGTGCGAATCTGACGCGTCAGTGCCTTCCTCTACTGGACCCATGGAGCACAGCAGGACTTCATAACGCTTCTTCATCTTGTCGAGCTTGGACGCCCGGTTGGTGAGGTCGCGACCCAGCTTGTGGATCTCCTCGTCGAGGGCGCGCATCTCGGCTTTGAGGAGGTCCTTTTGCGCCAGGATCTCCTGCCGACGCTCCTTCATGGCTGCGCTCATGTCAAGCTGCTGCTGGTCCAGCGAGAATACCTTCTCGGCCTGGGCGTGCAGAGAGCGGCGCAGCTGTTTGATGGTCAGTCGCAGCATGTTCTCGTCCACCATGGCCGTCTGTTTCCGCTCCACCACGCGGCGCAGCTCCTTCATCGAACACTCGTTGTGTAGCTTCAGTTCAGATTCCTTCGAGTCGAACTGCTCCGTGAGCAGCTTGTTCTGTTGCAGGTCGCGTTGCACCTGTCTCTGGGCCTCCAGGGTTCGTTTCACCTGCTCATCTAGGAAGCGTTTGGCCTGGTTGCGCTGCTCTAGATCAGCCTTCAGCTCTGCGATACGCTGCTCGAGACGAATGCGCTCTGTGTCTCGCCTTGTACCGGACATCCGCTCTATTCGCTTCTGCAGGTGCTGCGCTAAGAGTTCTTGGCTGTAGATGATTTCTTGCTGTTTCATGACTTCACTGTCCATCTTTCTTATTTTGGACATCATGTTACGTCTAGCAGCCACACATCCTTGAATTTCGGCGTTCTTTGCCGTCTCATCTGATTGGTACTTGATGAGCTCATTGCCTTTTCTGAACTGCAGATCTTTTAGGCGAGATAAGTCTGTATCCATCTTCTTCTGCTTGACTTCTTCGTCCTCTAACAGCTTTGCCAGCTTTTGAGCCCTTTCTTCAGCACTCATAGCCATTTCGTGCGCTTCTATCAGTGCTTTGTCTACATGGTCTTTCTCAACCTTTAGTTTGATATATGCCCGATTCCTCTCAGCAAAGCGGTTTTTCAGTTGATGAACAGTGACTCTAGCTCGCTCTAGCATGATTGATACTCTGTTCACATTTGTCTTAAGCGCCTCCAGCTCTCTGTGGAACTCTTCTCGCTCGTGCTCGGTTCTCTGATACTGTTCCCGGATTCTGTTACATTCTCGTTCCATCTGGGCCGTCTCGACCTCAAGCTCGTGGTTGTTGTTTTGCTCATCGGCCAGAAACCGTTTCTGCTCTTCTAAGGCCACTTGTCGCTTATCCATCACAGCTCGGAGTTTGTCCAGCTGCTCTGAGATTTTCTGGATGTCGCGCTCACGTCTCTGGATCTGCTGCAGGGTCTGTTCCCACTGGTCCAGCAGGGCCTGTCTCTCAGCGTGAGCGTGCCGGTAATCCTCGCCGAGCTTGTCCAGCTCCACCCTGACCGACATCAGCTCCGTGGTGGCGTGCTTCAGCTTCTCATTGCTTTCGCGCTCTTCAGCATTCAGCCGCTCCAGCTGCAGGTTCAAGTCCTTGATCATCCCCTCATCGAGGCGAGCGTAGTGTTCCAGAGCCATTATGTCGTCGTCTCTCTCAGACATTTGTCGAAGCCATGCCTCAAGAGCCTCTCGGTCAAACGCCATCTCCTTCTTCAAAGCATCAACCGATTCCTGAAGCTTGACGACATCTCCTTCAAGATTGATGCGCCTTTGCTTGCCCTCTAGCATGAGTGCTGCCATACTCTTGATGTCCTGATTAAGTCGGCCCGACTCTCTTTCAGCGAGGTTCCGCAGATGGTTCTCTGACGCTATCTGTTTCTCCCGCGCTTCCATGAGGTTCTGGTTCTGGTTGAACTCAGCCAACACATTTTGAAGATGCGTCTCGATAAACGAAGCCTTACTGTTTTGATCGGCTATATCCGCCTTAAGCGCGATAACAGTCTGCTGCTTCTTCAATAGTTCCTCTTCAAGAGCCTTGCATTCCTCATTGGCTAACGGGATCCTAAAAGTTGGGTCCCACCCAATGTCTGATAGGATGCTGTTTATGTCATCCATGTTGGTTTCCGTTTTATGCTGGGATTGGTAAAAGTACTCCGAACTTCAATCGTACGGTAATCCTCATTAGCTTTAATCACCTATAACGGGCGCTAGCTGAATAAACGCTATTTCATATTTCATTCACAGTAGCATCATCGTCATAGCTCAAAATGGTAGCCAAAATCACCAAACAGAAGACCATGAGTATTCCTCCTAGCAGGAAATGCAAAATTAGATCAGTTGAGCTGGGACCATGCAATGTTTCCCAGATTCGAAGTCGTTTTCTGCTCCAGTACTGCACCACCTCCACCGTTCGGCCGCTGTTATCCTCGTATCTACGCCATCGTTCACCGTTGCGTCCACGGGCTTGAGTGGGCGGTGGAAGACATTGCTCTCCTCGACATGCACCTAGGTGAAGAGGACAGCTGTGACAGGTATCCGCTCTCAGGGCCACAGTGTGGTTGCCCCTCTGTTTGCGTTTCTTCCGAGCGCAAGAAGGTAGCATGGGCATCACCTGAGAAGAAGACAAATATGAAGTTAAATGTGTGACAAAGGCCTTGAATGCACTCTGGCAAGAGAAAAGGAAATTGTTCAGTAAATGGGTACCTTAGATATTGTGGCAAAGGGCCTGATGTTTCGACTGTCGAGAACTGGCAGCTGCAAAAGCAGCACAATACGATCCGATTGGAAAATCAGTCATTTTACTTAACAATTTCATGACCCTCATCCAAATGAATTTTCACCTCTCCTCGAGACCATGTTAGTGCTCTTGCACCGGCATTGCCATTTAACGTTTGGCGACGCACAATTTTCTTGCGTTTCCAAACTTTTTGTGGTTATAAACGTGCCAACACGTGGAATGATAGTTAAGACTGTTAACCAATTCAGGATTTCTCTTTTTTTTATCCAGGCGTCCATCCAACGGGCTCATGTATTCCCATGTACAGGAGGGCTACTCCTCCTCCTGGCACCCGAACCCGAACCCGGCACCGCCCGCACCGCGGGTCGACGCCCTAACCCCTTAGAATCCGAAAACTACAAGTTTTAAATTCCATATCTCCGAATTAAAGCATTTTTCGATGTTGTGAGTGCCCAAACCGGTATTTGCAGGTTATGGCCACCACTTTGGCTATCTCAACTCAAAACTAATGTTAAGGTGGGATGGTCACTTTAAGGTAAATTTGAAATTGATAAACCCGAGGGAACTTAGGCTTCGTTGCGATTGACCGCTTTTGCGTGTAACTACAAAAAAAAAGAAGATGAACCCATCCGACCTCCTCTCTGAAATTGGGAGGGTTAAAATGAATTTAGGTGGTATAGCAAAGCAGACTGAAACTGATTAACATAAACGGATTGTTGCTTAGGTACGATATTGAAACAAAGGTTCATTGAGTTGACTTCCGTCTAAGGTCACTTATATTGCAATGGCCATTAGGACGGTAATTGTCAACGCAAAATATCAATGATGTATCTAAGCCAAACCTGGCAGTGGATGAAAATTGCCCTTTAATAGCGCTACATCTATAGGTGTTGAAAGTCAAACAAATGTTGAAAAGTAACACCAAATGAGTAAACTTAAACAAGTTAAACTTAAAATGTTACGAAAGCTGAGACCATCTACCTCAAGTCCTTGTAAAACTCGCTTCTACCACGTGCATTTCAACACTACCTACACATGACAAATGATAACATACCTAAATAATTATAATCATCAATTAATATGATAGGATGAATGTCTTTAGCTTTAACGTATTTTTCAGCGTTCGAAGTGCACGGTAATATACATAGAAACTAGCTAAGTACTTACATGATCACGGATATCCAAAGAAGAATAGAGCGAGGAGGTAAATGACACAGCTCGAAGCCAAACACTCCGTTGTTTTCAGGTGAGCGCCAATTTCCCCAGAAGCAGCAGTAACACCGACAAAACAACGTCGTCGTCGTTGTAACACTGCGTTGTTTTCGCCTCACATCAGCCAACGATTGCCACCGGCGCTGTGACGCTGAGCGTCGTTGCCATGGTAACCGCCTAGTAAATCGGCACTTTCGAGTCGCTGCGCACCTGGCCACACGGCCCCCTCCTGTGACTCACCCCTGTCTACTGTGTTTTATGTGACTCGGTAATCGCAGACAGGGGGGGGGAGGGCGTGATCAGCTGTTTCGTGCCTGTTCATTTAGCTGTTTTGGGATTTTTGGCCGATTCCAATTGACTGATGGAGCTTGTAGAGGCTGATCGCGGGAACTGTATTAGTGACTCATCGCGGCTAACCCATAAGTCGGCGACCTTTTTGAGTGCGGACCTGATGAACCCTGTAGGAAACGGTTGCCTTGCGGGACAAACTACGCCCTGGACAGTTACAATTAACTTTACACGACAAGAGATGCCAGTAGCAGTGGCCGAACTGCTTCTGAGTATCCGAGTTTTTTTTTGCACCAGCTCTAACTCTTCTTGATCTTTTAAGTATTCTTTTTTTCTTTGCAAACGTAATGATGATGAATATGAAATGTTCTTACATGGTTCAGCTCGGTCATGGCTATTTAACATTGCAGCACACCCATGTTATAGTTATATCAATTTCTTTTATTTTGCCTTTATGCAAAGTTAAAATGGTTAAAACAGAAATATTAGGTAATGTTTGGTTTGGGAAGTAATCTGTTATACCTACCTACCTATGTAAGTGCCCTCACAAGGAAAATGTATTAGAATATCCATAGATAGCATGATTCATGTTATCTTTGGAATATCATATCACTTTTCATTTAATTTCGTTTAGTAAACACTTTATTCATAATAAGACTCATAATATTGTAGAAATCGCCACGCAACACACAAAAGGCTTAACACGCGCAGTGGAAGGGGGGGCGGATTTCGCCCACCCCTCCTGTTTTTCGCCAATAACTCGCGCCGCAAGCATAACATCAATGTGAAATTTCGGCTACCTGTCCAGAATTGAATTGCGGATCTTCTCGTGCAAGAAAAAAGAAAATCGGTTCACAACTTTTCTAGTAATAGCGGTGTAAAGTCAAACATCCTGCCGCCGCGGCGGCGCGGCGGCGCGGCGGCCGGCGCTAGCCGTTACGCGCCGCCTGAATTGTAGACTGTGCCGGGGCGGGACGGTTCCGTCTTTACATCGCGCTCCTTACCGCTGATTATATTAGATTCGCGTCAAATTCGGTGAGAAGACTGAGAAATGTACAGGCAATCATATGGTCAAAGAATTTTGAAAATCGGCCGGTAACAACTTGAGTTATGAGTGTGTAAACACAAAATTGTGATTGCCGCGTTTCCCGCGTCGGCCGATGCCGCTTCAGCCGGCGATATCTTACCCTTAGCAGGCTTCTAACTGCCATATTTATTGTTGGATTATCTAGAAATTCACCATACATACTCACAAATGTTTGTTCTATCGTGTAGTGAAAGATTTTAAAAAATCGGCCGGTAACTTTTTGAGTTATCGGCGTGTAAACGCAAAAAAGTCGCTAATATGGTTGATTTGACCACATTTGACCTCATTTGACCTTGAAGATATTGACCTAGGGTCATGAAATTCACACACAACAGAGTTTCTCATGGCCCCCACCTACCCTCCAAATTTCGTCTTTCTAGCTCCAGTGGGAGCTGAGATCTTAGGGGGGGGCGACATCCGCCCCCCCCCCCTTCCACTGGGCGTAGTACTCGCAACCCTTCCACTGCGCGTGTTAAATTTGCCATGTTTTGTCTCCCAGAAATATTTCTAACGAATCGCAGAATCGCTTTTATCGGCATCACCTTAAATTAAGCATAGCTTTACTTCATTATGAAATCATCAGCCAACACAATGTTCCTGAGCTTTTTAAAACATCTGACTGATATAATAACAGGGAACAAAAATGATAAGCGAACGCGTTTCGGCTAAATCGTAGTCATTAGCGTCTAAAAAGGGAACAGTAGGCACACATCGAGCAAATGTCAGTTATCACAGCTCAATCGTTTTGATTTTTTACATGCAAGCATGTGACGATGTGCTATCTGACTGAGTTTCTTTTCCCTGCGAGTTAACCCTATTCCTGGCGGGCTCCGCCGGGACAAGAAACTGGCGGGGGGGGGGCCGATTCGGCCCCCCCCTGAGATCTCGAGAACGAAGCAAGATAGCGACAAGCGGTAAACGGCATCGGATACGCACGGCCAAGATCTACAATTTTTACAAAGGTCATTTTCAGGTCAGGTCAAAGATGACGTCACAGGGGTCGAAAAAGTCAAAATGGCGGCGCTAGATATGGAGAGAGTTTTTCTCGAATAACTTTCGAATTAGTCAAGATAGGAACAAACTAAGGGCATCATCGTGATCCTCTCGTCAATCCGCATCGAATGATATATATGTTGACCTCGAAAGGTCAAGGTCAAAGGTTGACCTCAGGTCACGTGACCTCGAGGTCATCATGTATATCATTCGATGCGTCTTGACGAGCTGAACACAATGAGACCATCCACGCGTCTGTATCTTGTTCCTGTACGGAGTTATTGGCCAAAAACCTTTGGTGACCTTTGATGACGTCACATGACCTCACAGCTGCCCAACAGCAAAACAGACCTCAAGGTAGTGAAGGTTGATCGTATATGAAGTCATGTATGGTATATGGGGCCATTCCGACCCGTTTTAGTGGTAAAAACAGGGAGTTGATTTTTCCCCCATTGACTTATAATGGGGAGGTCGCGAAATTGACCTGACCTTAGGTCACCGATATCAAAATTCCGAGATATACAAATTGCACATACTGGTACCCTAACTAAACCCTGAAGAGAAGAAATTGATCGGTCAAAAACTCTAGCTCTGGCGTGATTGCAAACTTTTCTGAGGTAGGGTCACCAAACCGCCTCTGGTGACCTGACCTGAGGTCAGATCAACTCAAAATTTTCAGACATGTTGCGTAGAAGCCTTTTAGGAAAAGTCAGAAAATTTGAGCTTCCTAGCTCAACGCGTTTGGGAGAAATAACCAAAAAACCTCAGGGGGGGGGCTCCTGAGGCCCCCCCCGCCAGGAATAGGGTTAAGCCGAATTGCATATAAGACTCATCTTCATACCTATATCTCATTAGGCTTCGATCAGTCTGTTATCTCAACTTGATTACGTTGCATTCCCCTTTTCCTTCATCCCTCCCTCGTTCCCTTTTTCCTTGTCTTGTCCTCTCTCTCTCTCTCTCTCTCTCTCTCTCTCTCTCTCTCTCTCTCTCTATCTCTCTCTCCCTCTCTCTCTCTCTCTCTCTCTCTCTCTCTCTCTCTCTCTCTTCTCCCCAACCCTCCTGTCACTGCGTCCTTTGTGGTCGACCGGCGCTGTTCGACCACTGCGGCGCTCTTCTCTGCCGTGGCGGCGGCGGCGGCTTTGGAACCCGTTCACTCTCTCGCCCACCGTAGCCCGTAACGCCCGAATGCTGCAGCACGATTCGCCGACTCCAAAGCCGGGCCTGATCCGTTCCATTGAGGCAGAGATTTGGCCGGTGCCGGATGAAGCCCGTGTCGCCGGCACTCCTCACGGTCCGCCACGCCGAATCGTCGCCGTCGCCGCAGCCCATCATCACTGATACGCCGAGGTAATTCCAAAAGAATTCGCGAATGCTTGAAATTTAATGTGCCGTGACAGTCTCGAGGCCATTGGCTTTATTTCAAACTATTTCCAAGGTATTTGCGTCACACTGAGCTATAATTTTCGTTCTATCACCCACGGCCTGACATTTGGTTGAAGTAGCAAGGTGGTATTTGAAGTATGGTCTAAGTCTTGGTGGAAAGGTCTCGGAAACCACGGCGTAAAGTTAATTAAAGGCTTAGGTTTGGGGTGAATCTCACGCTCTTCAATGCATAGTTTTTTGCTTCATACACGAATTTAGTGAGCTTGCAACTGATTGAATTCCATCCAGCGCTCTACACCCTTACTATGACTTTATAGAGATATAAAACGTAAATAAAGATTCTACACATGGAAACATCCTTACAGCTCACACAATCAAACTTCTTAGGTCCGCATAAGCCTCCGTTCCAAGCCATAGCCCACAGCGCTTTTGTGACATATTCCACACTTGTAGCCCTACCCTGCCTATTTTCCAAATGACTGACGCTAGCCGCGGCCGAATCCAGCCCAACCCAGCCGCGGCTAATGCTTCTGTGACACCTGACGTTTCGTCAACTACCTGATGTCGATCACCCAGCGTTGACCTCAGTGCTGACTTCAGTGCTGACCCAGTACTGACCTCAGTGCTGACCCAGTACTGACCTCAGTGCTGACCAAGTGCTGACCTCAGCTCTCCCTCCGCACCGCCGTGTCTGAGCTGATCAGATCAATGGTGTTGGCTGTTTCTCACCCGAGTTTTCCCGCCGGGATCGAAACCAGCGCCGGCACTAAGCCATGGCAAGCCGGCGGCACACACTTCAATCCTTCATGTCGGCTCGCCGTCCGGACCCGATCAGTGCTACAAATTACTATCTTTTCGGCGGCTCAGTGCCCTAAAACCTGCTGACAGTGGCGCGGCGGGCAGAGAGGCCGCCATGCTGGGGCCTCCTGCATGCAGTGGGGAGGGGAGGGGAGGTGGGGAGGCGCCAGACACAGAGCTACCCGACACCGGACGGGGAGAGCGCAGGAAATACGACTGTCATCATAGATAGCCGGCGCTCTTATGGGAGGCGGCCGAGAACGAGAAAATAGAAATGGCATGCTGTGGACGTCATTCTGCCCTGCCCGGCCTCTTCTTTCGGGAAGCGTTTATTTACTTAGGTAATTTATGTATTAAATCTAACTTAAGTATTTAATTATTATTTAGCTAATTTAATTATTGAACAATTTCGCCCGTCAGATATTTTGTCTCACTAGTCACTGCTTAGTGCTTATGTATATTTTTTTATAATACAGCCTGAAACAACGTTTATGGCATGGCACAGTGACAAAGTTGTCAGTTCAGTTCTGACAGTTCTGACAGTTCTGTCAGTTCTGACAGTTCAGACAGTTCGACAGTTCTGTCTCTGCTTGCTGTGCCTGTTGTCGGTTGTGTCTGCTGTCTGTTGTGTCTGTTGTCTGTTGGACTAATTGCCGGTTGTGTCTGCTGTCTGTTGTGTCTGTTGTCTGTTGGACTTGTCGGATGTGTCTGTCGTCTGTTGTGCTTCCTGTCTGCATTGTATCTGCTGTCTGTCGGGCTTGTTGTCGGATGCGCTTGTTATCTGCATTTTTATGTTGTCTATTATATCTGTTGTCTGTTTGCCTATTGTCCTCCATGCCTGTCGTCTATCACCTGTTGTCTGTTGTGTCAGACATGTCGGTTGGGCCGTGTATGTCGGCTGCCAGTGGCTGTGTGACAGGCCAGGTATATCGATCGGCCGCTCCGCTGTGTCGGCTCGGCTCGCAGGCACCTGTTTTGCCAGCTGTTGCGGCGCCGGCAGCCGGGCGCCTCCC